GCGGGGCACGGCCAGGGCGGAGCGGGGCGAGGGCGGCCCCGGCGGGGCAGGACGGAGCGGCCGGGGGCGCCGCCGCCCTCCCCCGGTGTAACGGGTGTCCCCCCCGCCCCGGTGCGCGGCCGCAGGGGACAGCCCAGCGGTGCACTTAGTCCCGGCCCCGGGGCCAGGCCCCCGCAGGCGTTAAAGCCGGGCCGGAGAACGGCTTCCCTCGAGGGAGGAGGCTGCAAAGGTGTGGGGTGGAGGGGGAAGCAGAGCAGAGGTACCTCAGGGGGACAAGCAGAACCTTAGGGACAAAAGAGTGAAGGTACTGCTCCGCTTAAGACCGAGGCAGAACACAGGACCTGCTACACTTTTTTTTTTTTCTCCCCCCTCCAGCAATATCAGGGAACATGCCGGTTGTCCAGAGGAGTGATTTGTTGAACATAAACTTCTTACTAACTCAGGCCAAGGGAAGAACATCATGCTGCAGCCTTCAATATCCACAAAAACCACATTTCTTTGAATGCAGGTCACACTTTATTCCAAAGTCTGCTTGTCGTTATTCCAGCCTTAGCACAGGATATTAGTTACCAAAATTACATTAGAAATTCTTACAAAGCAGTGCTTGCTGGGCAAATAACCTAAATATCTCCCCCATTTTAATACCAGATTATCCTATCAGTGTGGCAGAGTAACTCCTGGCAAAAGCTGCCTCATTTGCCAGCTTCTTCCTGACTGGGAAAGGTTTTGTGTGTGGAGTTACTTAGACACAAATGGAAGACCCCTGAAGTCATTTACATGACTAGGAAAGATAATCCCACTGCAAACTGGCACGCTTAAAAGAAAATCCCACCTTGCTAAGTGTTCCTCTAGGAAAGAAAGTGTCTGAGAAGTTTCTTTGAGAAGCAGCCTCTTGCCCCTGCTGTTCCTGGTCTGCCACAGCGCTGAGCTCCCCCGGAAACAGAGCAAGAGAAAGGAAGTCCTGTCTGCAAGATGTATTTTTTTAAATTTGTAGGAGGGAAACAGTATCAAAAGTCAAGCACATCATCCTCTCGAGATCTCTGCAGCTTGGGTTAAAAACAAAGCCAACATTAAAAATAAATTTGAGACCGCTTGTGTCTCACAACTTCAGCAAAAATTAGCCGTTCACACATACAGCTGGGCTGACTTAAAAGGCTGAAGTACAGGTTCCCATCTTCCCTTTTAGTGCAGCAGCATGATTTAAAAAAAAAAAACAAACCTAAATCAAAATATGGAATCACCCCACCTCAGTTATCAAGTCTCCTTGCAAACTACTTCTTACTATAAACTCAGCCTGGGCCAGGGAGAGCACAAGAGGCACTCGTGGCACAACTGGCAGTTGGACACATGATTAAAATATGAAGTGCTGTTCTAGCCAGAGAGCCTTGGCCAGAAGAGCTAGAATTTTTCACAGATCTTCCTCTGGTGTATCTGTTTTTATCTCCTTTGCAGCCAGTGCCACCTCCGTGTCTTTCTCCACCTTCTCTTCCAGCTTCTCTTCACACCTTTCCCCCACGATCCTGTTTGCTCCCTTTGGTTCTTCGGGTGTTTCAGCCACCTCCTTTGATGATGTAGCTTTTTCCAATACAGGTGATTTTATATCAGTCACCGTATCTTTCTTCTGCTTTCTGCTATCCTGTGACACTTTAGCTATTGCCCTGAAGGGACCCACAAGCCAGTTTAGAGGGGTGTTCTGAGTTACATGCTCAAACAAGTCATCTAGGGACCGTCGGGCTTCTGCCACATGGTCCTGGCTCTGGGTCAGGGTGGTGCTAGAGAGGTCCTGGAAAGACACAGCACTGGAAAAAGATCTATGGAGCTTGTGGATACTTCGAGTGGCCTGATACACAGCTTCTTGAATGTTGCTGGGAAGGCCTTGGATGCTGGCTTTCAGATTCTCATAAACAGGTTGTAGCTGCTGGGTGATGATACGCAGCATAGCTAGAGTCCGTGACTCTACCTGCTGGGAAAGAGATATAGCTCAGTTACAGGAGCAGACGAGCTCTACACCATCAACAAGAGGCCTGATCAAATATGCCTTTCTAGGGATACCTCTGGTTGGGAGGCAGTTTTAACTTGGTTTCCTTTGGGTTGGGTCAGGCTCCAGTCCACCCACAGCTGATGGAGCTTCTCCTGCCCATCTAGAAGCTTCTGGCCAACCTCTTGTTTCACAGATTCAATCTGATGGGGAAAAATGAGAGGAACAGCTGTACTGCAAGCATACAGTCAGAAAAGCGCAAGTGCTTCCCTCCCAGGGAGGGATCCAAGGTGACATGCAGCTGGTACAGGATGGAGGAAGAGCTTCCATCTGGGTAGTAGGGCAGGAAGACAACAGACAGGAGGAAAAGGGGAAAAGCATGTTTGTACCAGTTTTATTGCCAGCTGTAGCCGTGAGAGTGTATCCTGGGTGCTTTGCTTAATGCGCTGCAGTTTGTTCAGGGAGTGCTGGTAGGCTCGGTGGCGGACTTTGTTAGAGAGGGAACCCAGACGCACAAAGTACCTCTGTTGCTGTTTCTGCTCCTCCACAGAAGCCACACCAAATCCCTCGACAGTGGTGGCCAGTTTACCTGGAGGAAACAAGAACAGAGATGCAGCTGTGCTCCACTCGCCCAGCTGTACAGGGGGGGGAAGAAGTAAGATCACCCACTGGAGAACACAAAGGCTGAAGCTTGCTGTGTAAGCAGTAGAGGTTTGTAGTTGCTCAGATATTACAGGCAGGCTAGTCCCTGCTCAATGTATTTTCTTCAGATAAGCAGACTCGACAGATGGGTTGAAGCATGGACCCACATGTTTATTTGCTTTGAGGCTGATGGGCAAGGACCAGCTAGCAAATGTTTGAACTCTGTCCCACACCACGTGGCAAGTCAGCATTGACAGCCAGCCAGCTTGGTGACATATTCAGAGCTACCTGCCTACTTCAGAAGATGAGTCTTGCAGTGTCAGGTGCTCTCTAGCCTTGTGGGACAGGAATTGCATTTACAACCGCCAGCTAAGCATTTTCTCACCTAGTTCCTCCTCGGTCATTGGGAGGTAGTGATCCACCAGATCTTCTGACAGACCCAGGACAGATTCCACACCACCCGCCACCGCCTGGCTCACTGCTTTGGCTTTGCTTATGCTGTTGGTCACCACTGAGTTCGTCTTCTCCACACCCTCCTGGATAGCCCCTCTGCTCTGCTCTAAGGCTGTATTTATTTTGCTAGTTATGGTGCCATACGCAGCATCCAGCGCTGTAGTGACTGTGGAAGTGACCACTGATTTGGTTTTCTCCACACCATCCTGGACAGCCCCTTTGGTTCGGTCCACAGCTTCAGTCACTGTGTTGGTCACAAGGTCCTTGGCACCCTGGGCAGCCTCCACAGCAGCAGTAATAGTAGAAGCAACTGCAGACTTGGTCAGTCCAACACTGTCCTCCACAATGTGTTTAGTGAGATCCACTGCTGCTGTCACCTTGTTTGTCACAAGGTCCTTGGCACCCTGGGCAGCCTCCACAGCATTGACAATAGTAGAAGCAACCGTAGACTTGGTCAGTCCAACACTGTCCTCCACAATATGTTTGCTGAGGTCCATGGCTTCAGTCACCTTGTTTGTCACAAGGTCCTTGGCACCCTGGGCAGCCTCCACAGCATTGACGATAGTAGAAGCAACTGTAGACTTGGTCAGTCCAACACTGTCCTCCACAATGTGTTTACTGAGGTCCACAGCTTCAGTCACCTTGTTTGTCACAAGGTCCTTGGCACCCTGGGCAGCCTCCACAGCACTGTTAACAGTGGAGGCGACCATTGACCTAGTCAGCTTGACACTGTCCCCAACCACATTTTTAGTGAGGTCCACAGCTTCAGTCACTTTATCAGCCATTGCTTCTCTTGCCTCACAGGCAGCACCCACAGCAGATGTCACTTTGGTGGAAACCAGCTGCTTGGTGTCTGAGATCACCTACAACAGGGAGAGACAGAGAAAGATACATTTTTTTCTGAAACAGGTTTTCCCTCCCTGAAGTGGCTTTTCTGTGCAGCTAAACTGTGCTTGCGGTCTTGTGGGAGAGCTGGGGAAGTCAGCACACCTATATTTACATGGCTGTGTTCGCTTCCACATGCTGAAGGCACTCTCCAGCTTTCAGCAGCCAGCAGTGCCTCCTCTAGCCCACGCCAGGGACTGGCCTGACAAAGCAGCACTGCTTATGTTTCTTTGCCCATATTCTTCTGTACCCATAAAAGTTCCATCAAGCAAGACATCAATCATGGCTTCCCCAGGAAAAGCTTTTACTTTACCTTATCTGCTGGCTGTTGAAGAAAAGGCAAGTTCTCCTCCAGTTGATCCAGTCCTTTACAGGCATATTCATTTACAAGTGCAACTAGAAGAAACAGGTACAGGTTTATCCTTCAATTTGAGGGGGTGTTTAACCCTACAATGGCCAATTCAGGATACACTCATGAAAGCAAGACACAAAAAAAAATCACTGTTCTGGGCTGGGCGGCATGTACAGGGGTGTCTTGTTAAAAAGTGAACAAACTCCACAATTTGACAGGTTTAAATAATCTCCATTTTGCCTTCCCAGCTTTCTGGCTCTTGGCAGCACATTGCTCCAACTGGAATGCAATACCTGCCCCTGGTGGATAGGGCAAGTGGTTTAAAGGGTTGAGAAGCATCAGGATGAGACAAAACTGAGCTATATCCAAGACGGACACTGCTACTACCAGTTGGGATGCTCATAACTTGGAGTGATAGAGAAAAAGCAGAGAGGTTTTGCTTAGTGACTTAATGAAACCACAGACAAAAAGGCCAAGAAAACTGTTTCTGCTATTAACAGTTTCACATCCGTGAAATTCAGCGGCTGCACTGAGCAGCTGGGAGCTGCTGAGTGGAAGACTCGGTGCTACAATTAACTAGAAGAATGTGGATGTCACCCAACAGGCACACGGAACTCCCCTCCCCACCTATTCCTCTGGGTAGAAAGGGTCACTCCGGCCTCTCCACTTACTCTGTGGCTCAAGTTGGTTCAGGATGGGCTGTGCCCCCCCAACCACGCTACCTACAGCAACAGCAGCCACAGTCTCAGCCACATTGCAGACGCCGCTGAGGTAAGGATGCGTCTCCTTGGTGTAGTTGTAGGCAGATGAGACCAGGTTGAATGCAGAGTTGAGCAAGGGCAAGCTGGTCACCCGATTGACAGCGCTCTAAAATCCAAGAGAAATAAGTGACATTCAAGAGCCACCTCAAGCTGTTGGGTGGATACAAGCCATGTGTCTATCCAGAAAGGTCCTAAGGGGACATCCAGCCCATCCCATCATCCTTCTTAGAGTCAAAGGGACTCACACAAAGACTGCTAGCAAGTCAGCAACACACCAGGATTAGAAGTTCGAGTTCTGGGCTCGTGAATTCTGAGTCATACTGGGTTTCAGCACCAAACCCAGATGTGGAAATAGGACCTGTAACAGCTCATGTTTTGGAATTACTTGTGTTACAACCAGCCCTGAAGTTCTCTTGAGCAAAAAGTTTAGCTTCTATGCTAAATTTAGATTTAGTCACAGCTTCATACGGTTAATCTTTCTGCAACTCCCAGCCTGGTTTTAACGTGCTGGCAGAAGTTAGTTTACAGTGTATCTGTCAGCAGGTAGTTTAACTGTTGCATGTTATCGTGTTATCACCTACCGCTTGCTGCTGTTCCTCAGCCTCCAGCAGATCTTTTTTTGGGGTCTTTTCTGATGCCATACTGAATTCACCTGCAGCTGAAAGGAAAAACAAGAGTATAACAGCGTAAGTACAACTTAATGTCCTCCAGTGAATGAGCAAAACTAGTGAAAAGCAGAGGCCAACAAAATGGGGATCCATCATTCAGCACATCATAAGAACATCAGTGTGGCATCACTAATCTTTCTTGCACGGGTGTGAGGATATTTGAGAGGCACTATGACTTACGATGTGCAAATATTTGTGTAGAACGTGGACAGTACTCAATCACCTCCCTCAATCCCCAAAGAGCCAAATAGTTTAGTCTAAATAACCATCCTCCTTATTTTATTGCTGGTAACATTTGACTGGCTTCAAAGTTGCAGGTTAGAAGTGGGTGAGAACTTTTAGCTGTCATGCATTTTCTCTGCTAGAGATACTTTGGGTTCAGCCTCCCACTGCACAGGCTCTTCGCTATCCAAGGACCAGAACCCTTGAAGGAAAGATGTACCCTGCAGAAGTGGGGCTAATGATGGGAATCCCTGAATCTTGTCTCACTCGATCATGACAGATTACTGTCATTCCAACAGCCCTGCTGAAATCAGCTGCAGCAGGGCTTGATAGGACAGTAGTACAAGTAATGTTGTAGTTTTAATTTTCAAAATGTGGCAAGCTCAAACAGTTTAATAATGGAGTTTAAAACCAGAAATACTTATTTTGAAGAAGCTGTCTGAACTCCCTTAAAACCCTTTAAGAGGAAAAAGCCCTCAGATTTTCCCCACTTTGTCTGAAATAGAGATTGGCTTTACAGTGGCTTAATCTATTTTTCTCTTTGGGAAAAAAGAAGGATTGGCAGGACGTCAGCTCCCCTCCAGAAAGGTGCCAGAGCCAGAGACTGAAGAGAGATGCTGAAACAGCAATAGGCACATTTTACCTTCTTAAGAGAGGTCAGTGTTTATAGCCCCTTTCCTCCAAAGTATCCTTTGCAAAGGACATAGAGATGAAAGTAATTTTAGAGTCATCCCACAATGCCTGTGTTCACAGGGATGAACTTCTATCAACTTCCCCACCACTGCTAACTCCAGCAACAGCAGCAGTCTCACAGCTCAGGGAAGGGTATGAAAATCCTTTGAAATTTTCCTGGAAGAGGGAGGCAGGCTTTGCAGCTGCAGCATTCTGGCTGGCTACCTTCAAACTTGCCTTCCATCCTACTGACCAGCTAGGCAGGAAATTTCTCCTCACTTCCTGCGAAACCAAGTCTCAGAAGTATTCTCATTACATAATGGGATTAACAAGTTCAAGTATAAAAATGATGCAATATCTTGAATATGTATTCACTTCCCCAGTAGAGGCCTAGGTTGGTATCTGGACACTCCAGTATCGTATGATAAATCCAGGATTACTTCTCAGCCTTAGGCAGGCACAGCAGGGATTTCAGCAATTTCTTCTCCAGTGCAGCATCCGCTTTTCTCTCTCTTGCCAGTTAATTCCTATTCTTAGAACTGTTATGGCATTTTCCAACGGAAAAACCTTCAAACCAAAATTCCTCACAAACTGGATTCCTAAGGCAAGCACTGCTCCAGGCTCACTGGCAGACTCTACCCCCCAAAAATTGCCATCTGATTTGTGACAGAGACCATTGTCTTGTTTCTTGTGTTGCTAAACTTGTGTAAGGTTCTTATTTTGCTGTGGAAACAGGAATAGAGAACTGGGGAGAAAGTAGTGAAACAAGCATTTGTTAGCCCGGGCCCAACTATGGATAGAGTTAGGGAAGACATCTCAGGAGGTAACTTGGCAGGATGTCAAATATTGCTCCATTAACCATTGAATTAGTCAGCATTTTAGTGAGATTCAAGCAAGGCAGGGATGCAGAGTGCTATGCTTCTACAGCGAAAGTTGTCACAAAAATTGGGACCTCCATCCTGTCAAGTGAGAAGCCCAGAGGCACATTCCTGGCAATCACCCTGCCCAGGGGGCTGCCTAATTTAAAAGCACAGCAAAAAAACAGCTTGAACTTTATCAGCCTGGGAAAACCCCTAGAAAACTGCTCCAAACAAAAGCAGGGCTTGAACATAAAGTCTCAGTCCCAAAGTCCACAGGGTTTGCTGTTAGTGGTTGTTTATCGTGCGCTGCTTTAGAGCAAGTTTTTTGGGTTTTTTGGAAGCCAAGTAGGTTGAACCAGTCTGCAGCTCTGTCACAGGGCAAAGCACAACTGTTTCAACACCATTGCAAACAACCCCTTTATTGAGTTGTTTTAATTCTAGATGGGTGGGAAAACCCTCAAACTGCAGAGTGAGGCCTTAGTGTCAGGGTTAGCACAGACACACGCGGCAGGAAGAAAAGGGAGGCCTCTAGTTGCTGGCATAAGTCAGGAGTAACTCCTTGGCTAATAGAACAATAAGATTAGAATCAACCTCTGAAGTACTAGCAGCTCATCTTAATTATGGATGCAAATGTGTCTGGGACAATCCCTGCAGCACAGTCATGTTAGAACATGGTTTGCTCTCCTCTGCGTAGGAGGAATCGGGGTGTGTTGCAATGCCAGTATTTGTGGGCAAGTCTTCATGAGCGCACAGCATGGTTTTATTTTCTTTTTCCCCTGAAAAAGTGCTGAGCAGAGCTTGCTTTACTCCAGAGACCACAGGAAAGCAAGAGTGCTTAGCAACTCTGGGTCAGTTGTTTCAGAACCCGTTGGAGAAAGGCATGACTTCGAGCCAGAGTGGTTGCAAAGCGAGAGTCCCAGCGGGCAGACCCCATGTGTGGAAACACCAGGCAGAAGCAGCATCACCGTTTGCTTTGGTTACGGTTTGCTTTCTTTGAAAAAGATGATCCGATGATTTCATGCCATTGCTACATCAGAAACGTTAAGTCACTGCTGGAGAAAGTTCTTCAAACAGGTAGTTTCAGAAAGATGAAACTCTTCGGTGCACATTTCTGGCGTGGCACAATAGCTTCACCGCTGATCGTTGCCCAGTTTGACACAAGTCTGAACTCAGGGAAACGGCAAAGGCAACAGCACCAAAACTGCCAAGCCGCTATCAGTTTTCCCTGCCTCAGTCAGACAGTGCAACACGCCAGCCAGGCTCAAGAGCTAGGGTGAGCAGAATTTCACCTTTGATTTCTGTCACTCTGACAGTGACCAGCATGCATAAAGCTAGTTCTTTAACTTGTGTAAGGTTTTTATTTTTCCTGTGGAAAGTGGCTCTGGCCCATGAAGATAGCCTGCTGCTACAGCGTCCTGCAGACAGAGGTAGGAGCTTGTTCAGAAAGCTTTTCTCCCTTCAGATGTGTTTTACCTCGGGAAGACAGATTGAGCCATAGCTAGCATGCCTGGTTCAATAGTTTAATTGGCAATTCCTTAATGACCGTTTAGGAAAACAAAGCTAAATTTAGTGCTTTAGATGTGAGCAGGGAAGGATAATCAGGGCAGAGGCATTCATTTATGGTTAAAGCACTATCTACATTCTTTTCAAGATTTGCCGCTGATACCCCAGTTACCACAACTGCAGTCACCAGAACTGGGTCACAGGATGCCTCCTGCACCCCCACGGCACCGCCCGCAGCTGAGGGACAGCCTGCAAATGCTCCCAGGGCAGAGGGAGCTTCAGGAGGATCTGATGATTTTCACCTTAGGACATTAGTTTCAGAATTGCTGGCAGAGGTGTCCATCTAACCTTTCTGGAAAAGACATCAGCTTTAGAGCTTCTCAAAGATAAAAGCCACTTCTGCAGATGGAGGCAGGGTTCTCCATACACACACAACGGTAATTAAGAACTACAGCCAGTGACCATTACTAGGTCAGTAACTCCTTGGAACAGTGAGTGTCTAAGGTATCCAAGCTACTAGAATTTGGATGTATACGGAGAGAGTTTAATTAAAACAGCTTCTGGGCTTTCCAGTAACTTACCAATTGTTCCATGAGGACAAAACTGAGTTTCAGACAGAAGCTACAACTTGCAGAGCAAGCAGCGTGCTGCTTGCTCTTTAACACACGTTTTCATCTAGAAGTTTCAGCAGAACCAGCTTCAGTAATTGAAGTCCTCCATAGCAATACACAGTTGCAGGTAGTCACGTCCACATTTAAGAACCCTGTTGGTCTTGAGACACACTAAGCTAGTTTGCCAAGGGCTCTCTCCCACAAGCTGGCAGAGCCGTGCACGGCTGCAGCCTCCACCTGCAGAGACACGGTGCTCTTGAGCAAGAACAAAGTTACCTTGCCACTCAAGAACCTCCTTCCTTAAGACTATTATCATGCCTGCACCAACTGATCATGTGAAATAGCTACAGGAAAGTCTGGCAGCACTGTCAACAGGAAGGGAATGCCCGACTGATCCGTCTGCATCCTGAAGCATCTACCGCTTCCCCCAGCGTCAGCACGAGTCAGGGGTGATGTCCAGGGGGCACATCATGTGCTGTCCCTGCGTGGCTGGGTGGGAGAGCCACCTCCTGTGGACCCCCCCCAGCTTTAATCTTCAGCAGAAAACAGCTTTCAGACCCAAAGTTGCTCAATCCTTTAGGGAAGGATTTGAAGCCTTTCAGCTCTTCCCCAAGGCACCACAGATGCAGCGTGACATGATAAGATGTCACCTTTGGCCTCAAAAAGCCAAGACAGCCCCTACCCACAGATGGGGGAAGGCAGCAGAGACACAGCACACAGCTCCGTGCTCTCCCAGGGAGCTGGAAAAGCCCCACGGGCGCAGCTGGGGGGACACAGCCCCTCAGCCTCAGCGCTCCAGGCATGGAGCCACTTCCAAATCCAGCCGCCACCCTCCAGCCCCAGGAGCGCTGGAAAGAGCCACCTGAGGCGGGAGGGAAGCTCAGGGAGCCCGAGCCCGAGCCCCAAAGCCCACAACCACCTCCCCACCAGCCCTGCCTTACCTGTCTCCTCTGCTCCCAGCACTGGCAAGACTGGGAACAGTGGGCCTCGCCCCGCATAAATACCCCAAGGGCCTGATGAGCAGCTGAGGGAGCCAATCGGAACACTGCAGGTGCTGGCCTGGCCAATGGGGAGTGGCTGGGAGAGGGAGGGGTGGGTGAGGGGGTCAGGTGAGGGCGT